GTGTGTGTTTGTGTGTTTGTGTTTTTGTGTGTTTGTGTTTTTGTGTGTTTGTGTGTTTGTGTGTTTGTGTGTTTGTGTGTTTGTGTGTGTGCGTGTTTGTGTGTTTGTGCGTTTGTGTGTTTGTGTGTTTGACCTCTTGAATTTTGCCGAGTGATGGCAATGCGCCTTTGGCATGCATGATCGGACCCAGCTTGAGAGGAGAATGGTGCAAGCTAGGGGCCCCAGTCAGGTTCCAGAGGATGAACGGATCGATGTCAGGATACCCATCCCTTACTCACGTGAAGTTGTGCCATCTTACAGGACCATTTTTGTGCAAACAGGACGCCGCATGGCGTGAAGGATTCCTTCGACTTGATGTGACCTGTTTCAGCTTGCCTGAGACACCAGAAACAAAGAAACGGCCGCAGGCATGGGTTTGTTTCCTTGAAGCTCAGCTACCACAAGCCGGGTGACTGTTTGTCGCAGGGCCAGTCTGAGTTGTCTGCCCTTAAACCTGGCCACGCCACAAGCGCGTCGGATGGACTCGGCCGGGTGTCGCCCCGAATGGCACTGGTGAGGCGCGTTTCTGGACATGGCTCAGTGGCGCCCTTTTTCGCTTGTTTGGCAGATGCCCCACGAAAGACAGCTTCCCTTCTCCCGCGGAGCGCGGGCAACTTTGCCTTTTGACAATTTGACCCGCGTGTGAAACTGACTCGTCCCTGCCCTTGTTGGCATAGACACAAAATACATAAATTAGGACCCGTGTCACCCCGAAAGGTATGTGCAGGCGTTTTGAGGAGATTTTAAGAACCTGTCCAGGGTTTTCATTGTCAAGATCTGCAATCAATGTGTGCAGGCAGACCAGTTGCGGCAGAATCGCATAGGCTGAATCTGATTGGTTTCCCGGGCTCTGACTCATGGTTGTTTGACATGTCGTCGCCGAAGCAACATTGGTCCAATTTCCTGCAGTGTCTGGTCCATTTGTGGGGGTTGGGAATGGAGGATCTCAATAATTACATCTTCGACAAGTATCAGGGGTAATTTGTGTCTAATATGAGTGTTGGTTCCACACTGTATACGCACATGTACCTTAGTTGTCTTTTCTGCGAATTTGGTCACTCGTAACTTGTGTACCACACCAGTCTTTCTGCTTCTTCTGAGCAACTGGCTAGAGAGCCATTTCGTATCATTTCGTCCCCAACATGAAGGCCCCACTTATTTGGGGCCTTTCAAAGTCCGTGCATTACATGTAGCTCACTGGGAGCGACCAGTCTCGCCTTCTGACACAATCTTGGGTTCTCTTGGCTCAATGCCCGCGTAGGCAACCCTCTGTGACCAAATTTGCAGATAGCGCACCCAGGCCACATGGGCCATGCGAAGACATGGGCTCCAAATCCCTTGTTTCTACCAGACGAGACAGGTAAAGTTCAGCTCCAGGATTGATGCAACGGTCTTTTGGTGGATACCGTTGCTTGGGATTGCCTGGACGAACAAAAAATGCTACGCACTGTTCTAAATCGACATTCTCCCTTGCCATGGAAGCCGTAGATCTGATCTTGGTGCTGTTGAGCGCGGTGTTGCAAGCGGTTGTGGCGGTGCGGCTGGTTTGCCTGGTCCGATGGCAGCACCTGGAGAAGGCGCGAAAGCTCTTGGCAAACGCGGCCAATCGCCTCAGAGAGATGGATCCGGAGGAGCGTCGAATCCAGGCACTGGTCGAAGCTGGGCGCATGCGTGTGGCTAAAGCCAACGCAGGCTGGGCAAAGGGGTTCAAACTGTGGTCTTCTTTAAAAGGAAGCCAACAGGATGGTGTTTCAACTGTAGGTAGGATACAACATGGCGTTCGATAAAGGGATGGAATCACCCAACCCCGGGAGGCATCTTGCTGCTTCTGGGCATCTTTACACTCGGAGGAGTCCAGTTCCAACAGTTCACGCAAATGACTGAACCTCAATCAAGGGGGTCCCAGTGGGCTATGTTGGTGGCCGTAACTCTTTATTTGGCATTGTGGCTTGGCCCAGAGCTCAAGTCAAGTCTCGCTTTCAGCCTCTGGTACCTCGTACCATCGGCGTGCGCCGTCTTCACTCTCAGTCCTGCTGCAACGGCGGACTCACTGCTCACAACTCGATCATTGGTCACTTTTGCCTTCTGGCGCCTGCCTAGTTCAAGCTGGCCGCCGAGCTGGATCGTTGCATGCTGCGGCTTTGTACTGTGGGCGCAAGCCTGTGTTCGATTCCTGACCAGATCGGAGCCCCAAAGCAGCACACTCCCCGAGAACCCGCTGGTTTTGGAGACATTCATGTTCGGGGCCTCCATTGCCATTAAGATTGGCTTTGAACGCTTGCTGCGGAGCATGGCAGTCTTACAAATCCGCCACGACAAGGTGAGCCAATCAAAGCCCAACATGAGGGTAACACTCATGACTTGTGTCTGAAAGTGCAAAGCCTTTTCACTGGTCACATGGTTTTCCCAGTTCTTCGCTGGCACCCTCAGCCCCAAGCCTTTTTTGGTTTTGTGTTGGAAACCCGCTAAAAAATGGCTAACCCCGCAAAGGATGTTCTTTTTCGACCTGGGGTTTGGGTCAACTCAGGTGGACGGCCCAAAAGAACATGGAGCCCCTAAACCATCCTTAGATGCACAACCACTTCCCCCTTTGAGTAAAGACCCAAGTTCCCCTCGCAGTGTTTGTGTATTGATGGTTCGGGTCCAGTTACATGAGCCGCTGACATCGGCAGACCGGGCGCCGGGAGAGGAAGCGAAGGAATGGAGGGAAGCGCCGATTTGGTTTTCCGAGGAACCCCGCAGATTTGGAGTACTGGTAGGGCTACATGCTTGTTGCACGGGTAGGCTTTAAACACGTTGTACAAATTCCGTCAATCGCAGGTTTTGGAGGATTCGAATCCTCGACAGGACGGGCTTTCGTGCATTCTGACTCCCCAGGTGGGTTCGGAGCTGCAGGGGGCGACCTCGCTCCTGCGGCACATTTGCGATGCGGTGATTGAGGTGGACGCGGACTTGCGCTTGACGAAGCACTCCGAGGCATGGACAAAAAGTGGGTTATAGTCAGGGTGCTGGGAAGCTGGTGATGTAGGAAAATAGCCAAGGTTAGTGAGCTGCGGCAAAAAATCAGCCAGTCCCGTTTCTTTGGCCACATCTACCCACCTTTTCAGCGCTGCTTTGTTTTCCTGTTATTTTGAGGGGTTTCCATTTCAGCCAAAGAGTGTTTTTGTTGTTCTGGCTGCTGGGATTCTGGGCTTAAAGGGGCACCCTTCCTGGATCTTGGAGGATACATTTGGTCATTTGGTGTTGAAACAGGGGGTTAGCCGGAGGAAAACTTTCCATCCCTGGAACTGGGGTCCCGGAGCCAGTGACTTTTGGCAACAGTTCTCGCCTCCGTTTTGCTCCTTCTCCTTTCTCTTTTTCTTTGTCTGTCTGTGTTTTTGTCGTCCTTTTTATTGTATCTTCAGCGTGCTAAATAGATAGAAAGAAACAGACACATAACAGATAGGTGGGAAATGGATAGATAGAACAATCTCTCTCTCTCTTTCTCTCCCTCTCTCGCTCACCGGCGGACATGGCCACGGCCGGCCTTTCCCCAGCAGAAACCGCTCTGCCAAAACACGGGCGGCCTCTGGCTGTAAGGAGCGAGCCAGGTGGTTGACTTGGCTTGTCTCCTCATAGGTTCCCGTTTTGGTGGAAAATTGGCAGGGCAGGGATATCCCTGGTAGTTGATTGAACCGCCAGGCAAACCAGGAATCGCCCATGTTTCAACCAAATCAACAAAAATGAACACCTGTGGCCATGGCTCAAAATCCAAATCGTACCCCCGGTGGACCGGACCCAACCCAACCTCTGAAATGGGTCCTAAAATGGATGGTGCACCTAGCCCAAAATGCTATTGGTTTTGACCCACAGTCATGTGGTTCCTGACTCGGCGTGTCTCCTCAAGAACCTTGGCCGCCTCCTTTCCGTAATTGGTTCTTCCTTTTTCTTTTGCCTTTCCTCTCGCGCTTTGTGTTTCTCTCTTTCATTAATTTGCTTTCCTTGTTTTATTCTCCTTCTCTTGCTTTTTCTTCTCCCTCTATCGTTATCGCTATCTTCCTCTTCCTTCCTCGTTCTCTTGTTTTTGTTCACCCCTCGTTCTCGGGCGCCGAGTTGTTTTTCCTTTGTTTAGCGGGCTGGGTCGTGGAAGGGTCCCTGGTCAGTCGGTCGCTCGTCGGTGGGCGGGTGCTTTTTGGCTCGCGGCTTGTTGCCTGTTTTTGTGGCTTTTTGCAGTTGTTGTAGCTTTGGTCCGCATCCTCGGCTAGCATCACTGTTAGCAACACCCTAAACCAGCAAGCAAGCCCTATACCGCTCCTAAACCCAGCCAAAACCATTCCTAAACCAACCCGAAACCCGCACTGAACCAGCACCACGCTGAACACTTACACATCCCTGAGCCTATGCCAACCGCCCGCCCCCCCCCCCTCCCCCCCGGCAAAACCCCCCAACCCCCAATTATTTGTTCATGTTATTTTTTACTTTGTTGTTTGTTTCCTTGCTTGTAGGCGTACTTAGGTGTTTCTTGCTTCTTTATGTCTGTTCCTTCGTATGTTTGCTAGGGGGCGTTCTCTCACAATGTTGGTTTGCCATTATTTGTTCTGTCCTCTTGCTATTTATGTGCTTGTGATTGTTTGGTTTATCTTCACTTCGTTTGTAGTGTGCTATACGCTTCTCATTGTTTGTTTATCCACTTTGTTTCAAGAACATGCCTGCTCAAGTATGTATGTTTTTTGAGTGTGTTATTGTTATTTGTTGAGCCGCGCTGTTATTTTATTTGCGTTCAAGTGTTTATCATTCATTCCGATGTTTAATGGTTTTGCTTCATTCATGTAGTGGTCTTGTCCTCTACTGCTTTGGGCATCCTTGTTTAGGCGGGAGATTTGCGTGGGGGGATTGGGGGGGGGGGGGGGGGGGCGCAGGGCTTTCATGGAATTCTGACAGTGAAACACGCATAGGGTGTGAAAACCCGCCCTTATTAAGCCCGTATCAAGCCTTTAATAAGCCCTCATGTGCCCCACAAAGAAACGGTGCAAAAACGGCATGTTGCTTGAATCAAGTTGTTTAGGCAGTCGAATTTGGCAAGTTGTTTGAGGCAAGCCGTCACAAACTTGAGCATGTTTTCTGGGCAGGGGCGGAGTTGCGTCCGTCAGGGGGGCAGCCGGAGGGCTTACCTGAGAATACTTTACGTTTATTTGCTGTCGTTCTTACACTTCTTTCTTGTCTTCCTGCTTTTTTGTTTTCTGTCGGTTTGCCTGTCTCTCCTGCTACTCTTTGTCTCTTTCTCCCTTTCTCTTTTTCTCTCTATCTCTCCGTCTCTCTTTCTCCCTTTCTCTCTTTCTCTCTATCTCTCTCTCTCACTGTCTCTCTTTCTCTGTCGCCGCTAAAATCAGCCTGTCAATTGCTGCAAGTGCAAGTGCTGCAGTGTTGTAATCACAAGTACCTGTAGTCTGCTTCGCACTTGTTGGCTATGGGCTCGCATGTAGTGAACATGTACTTTAACATCTCTCTCTCTCTATCTCATTATCTCATCACCCACACAAACAGAAGTGAAACAAAATTACACAATATTTTGAAGGTCGACCCTAGAGGGGTCTGCGAGCGAAGTGGCAAATGCCAAAGATCCAAGTTGACTCCCGGCAGTACGGCGCGCAGAGGTTTGGTGAACTGTGAAAACCGCAAACGCCACATTGAAGGTCGACCCCACGAAGGCCTGCAACAATGGCTCACCGTTTGCCAAACAGGCTTGTTTCCGAGCACGATGCGACACGGCTTCGAGCATGGTCGGAAGATCTAGCTTCGAGCGCGCAGTTCTCATGACGCTCCCACCATAGTTTACACTTGCCAACGCGCGATTCGTATTTATTTATTAATACACGCATATATGTATTTGCTTAGTTTCATTCGTGCGTGTTCTGCGCCCCACAATCATGAGGGGTTGAATCGCCACCCCAGGAGCTGGCCAATATGCTCCTGAGGCATCGCCCAGGAGGTTCGTTGGAGGGCGTGACTTGGCTGGGGAGCTCACTTGTTTGGCTGGGCTACTGCAAGGGGCTGAAGAAGTAGAATGCGGCTGTGCAACGATGGCCTTCTGGAAGTTGGAAGCGCTATAACTTCATTATATCATAATAGCATGCATAAATTCGCTACAAGTCCAGCAAGTGCTATAGCTACAGGAACTACAGTGACTTGGCTAAGTAACGTAAGTGCATTAGGATCTTGTACGTTACTTAGCTCGCGAAGCATGTCGACTAGTTAGCTGGAACTTATGGAACTCACCAGCATATTGCAGAAAACTCAGCTTTTTGACGCAGAAAGCAGACGCGTTTTTGATGTTTTTTATTATTATTATTATTATTATTATTATTTTAAGGTTTTTCAATGACAGACGCTGTTACGAGCGCGGATTGATGCGGAGAAGCAGAGAGCGCACTGCTTGGCTCACGCCTGAAGCGGTTGTGGTTGGGTGAGAGGCGCTGCCGCTTTTGTTGCTGCTCTTGTTGTGTAATTTCCCTATATGTATAGTGTCATGCACTGTTTTGCTAATGAGCCTGACACATGCCGACGGATCCCCGCACATCCCCAACACGTCCCCGACACGACGACACATCCCCGACACATCCCCAACATATCCCAACGCACCTCGACACGTCTCACACCCGTCCCCGACATATCCCCGACGCAACCCCGACACAACCCGGACGCAACCTCCGGCACACCGGCGACATGCTCAGCCCACAGCATCTTCAGAACGCATGAGCGGCTGTGCCGCTTTGCGGGGCCTGCGCGGCCGCTATACGTAGAGCCGTGTGACTCTACACACAGCGCAAGCGCGCGTCAAAACGGACCACGCAGTGCACGAAACATGCGCACACTGATGCTTCCAAAGCCTGCGATTCACCGCGCCCGCGCGCTCTCATGCAGAGCACATAGCGCCGCAGTCGAAGGCATCTAGCCCAAATGGCATCGAGTTGTCAACGATTTCCACATGTTTTCGAAGTCGCGCGCCGCTTTTTGACGCTTCGCGCTTTCCAGTTGGGCCACCACCTAAAACACAGCCAACTTGTTTGTTCGAGCTATTTGACGTAGGAAAGGTATAAGCTACTCATAAACACCTTAGCCAACTTATGCTTACAATTCACTTTAGTACTAAGGAGAAGTTCTATAACTTCACAACGAGTCCTACAACTTCCGCAGAAGTGATATAGCACTTATAGCTTCCACAAGTAAGCCGGGATCGTCATCGGAGGTACTCGAACCCACATTCAGTCAGGATGGCAACATGGTCACAGGGCGATAATGTGTGTACTGGTTCAAACGCGAAAAACCATGCTGCAGCATAGCCCAAGCAAACGTAAAGCAGGTACGCGTCATCTTTTGACAAGCCGCAGTGATGATCCCAACCCCGGATGCCACAAAAAACGCTCAGGTGAGGTTCACAGACTTCATGCCCCCGGCGGACGCGCAGAAGTTCTCCAAGCTGTTGGAGGCACAGCTGGCAGGAGCGCCGGAAATGGGGGGCTTACTTATTTGCTTTTGGTGTGTAAAAAAGTAAAACAGGGGTTTTGGGTAGGTTTTAGGCTAAAAAAAACCTAAACATAGGGAACATATGCAACAATGCCTAAATTGGGAGAGGGGGGATACACTCTTGTCCCCCGTGGCTTCGTTGGTCTGCTTGGGATAGATCCACTACGAAGCCGCAGTGTGGTGCCAACGGCCTCAAACAAACTCGCGGCCGTTGCAATCCAAGCCATGTCATTTATGAACTGTCCAACCTTTGAATCACATCCATTGTCCATTGTCCAACCTTTGAATCCAGTACAATGGATATGATGTGATTCATTCATGACAATGGATCATGGTTGTTTTCGGGAAACATTTACATTTTTGCTTACTGTGGTTTAGTGGGAAATCCCCACCGAACTGCTAAAATTTAAATTTTTGCTCCCCTTCCAACGTCAACCAAGGGATGTGCAAGATCAGGACGTCATGCGATTCACAGAACTGTCCAACCTTTGAGAGGGAAAGGACAGATCCGCTGAACACAGCGCAATTAGAGCACGAGCTTCACAAATTTGCAGACGGACAATCAAAGCATAATGAACCTATGTGCGACGGCGTGCGAATGCCCTAATGCACAAGACTCGGCCAGCGCTGTGCATTTTTGATGGATGTTACATTTCTTCATTTTCTTTCTGACTGAAGCACGCTTTCGCAGTTCCCAGTCTTGAGGAAGCAGAGTACGTGGGACCTTTGCTACTGGGACGCAAATTTGGACCCTTGCGGTGATGAATGCGGAGATGCCTGCACTTAAAAAGGAGATAGACAAGTGAGAGAGCGGGAGAACGAGAGGAACATTACAATGACAACGCACAAGTAAGAAAGACATCATAAAAGAACAACTTCGAAGAAGTAAATAAGGGCGGATTTTGAAGAAAGAAAAACAAAAGGAAGGAAAGAAGGAAGGGGATGGAAGGAGGCAAAAAGGAAGAAAGGAGAGGGAAGGAGCAACAGTCAGGGTAGCCTGAAAGGGTAAATCGAAGAAAAAAGGCCGGAGAAGCTGAATTTCTCACGCTGAGATTCCGTGCTGAGTTCAGTTGCTGGTTTGGCAAGGCACTTCGGGAGTTCAGGAAGGAACAGCGTTTTTTTTGTGTCTTGAGTCGCAGCTAAGAAATTCTGGCGACTGTGTGTTGTACGCTAAGCAGTTTTTCACCGAACGAAGAAATGAAGTCTCCGTTCCGCCGGAACGGAGATTGAAGAAGATAAGAAGGCGGCACAGGAACATTAGGCGATCCTTCCAGGAAGTTCTTCATTGTGAGGAAGTATTCTACGTCGCGAGCACGCTCAGCCGAGATGTCAGCAGAGATCGGCCTCCGGCGTGACATTTTGGTTTCACCACCTTCGCCTTTGTCATGTTTTTTGCCTTGGAATCTTTGGAGTTGGGCTTCTGGCCTCGGTCCTTTTGGTGAGCTTTCGTTCTCCCTTCTTGGTGTGCCTTGATTGCCCTTTTCTCTAGCCTGTGGGAGAAACAGGAGCCTAGCTCCTGTTTCAGTCAGAGATCCAAGGAAAAGTTGAGAAGTGACAGAGGAAGCAAGAAGAAGCTACAATAGCTTGTGGAACTGAATTTATTGATCTTGCTTTTACACAAGCAACAAGCTGTTTTTTACCTACCAATTTGAGACCTTCTACTTCTTTCCATGCAGGAATTATTTTTCCACAGCAGCCACAAAACAGTTGTTGGGGACCCTTACGTTGGCCCACCAAGTGACCAGCGCGCGCAAAAGTTATCCAGTCGGGCCAGTCTGTATTCCCGCACAGTGTCAGCATTTTACTTGGCCCCGTATTGCCACACTTGGCTTCGCGTAGCAGGGCGACGCGCGCATTTTAGGAGAGACTGCGGCGGGGGCATTGCCATACGGGACGCAGTCGGCGGGCAACGTAGGGTTCCCAGCGAACATGCTGCATTGCATTTTGCAAAAGGCAGGTGGGTGAACAGAATACAACAAAGCCAAGTAGCCAATAAGTAATTCATCCTTGTGATTTTGCCCTGTTGCGCAGTAACACGTGTGACACCTGGAAACCACCAGGTGCTTCTAAGTTGGCTTCGTGTTGGAAACTGCAAGAATAGCTTGGCCCACCTCTGCAGGAAAGGCGGAAGATTTCCAGTCCGACGTGTTCCACACGCGCTCCTCAGCTAGAGCCCTGCGATTCGGCTTGTCCATGCATTTGGAATTTACACAGACAGATGCCTTTCATCGGAATCAGTTTGGTTCCTAGGACGCTTGATTGTTGACCAAAGCGTTCCCTCAGAGTGAGGCTCGTTTTTGCATTAGGGGTAACCGGAAACCAACCAACGTGGATCCAACTCTTGTGTGCGAAGCCGTCGGCCCTTCCACAGACGCCAAGTGCAGAAGATTTCCCGGCCTAAGGCGCCAAAGGAAAGCAAGCGCACCAATGGTTTGTGTTTTCACCGAGGATCGAAGCA